AAGTCAACAAATATGTTGACTGAAACTATTAAGTTTTCTAAAGCAAATAGAGGTTAATGATAATGATCTGCAGTATTTCCACAGATTGGTAAAAAGTCTACTAATCTCAGGATGTTACCCGTGTACCAGTTTTTTTTAAACCAAATAAACTTTTATTATGTTAAGTAAAACTGTATTTGGTCAGAGGTATTCTGAGAGACTTATAACCTAGTTAGTTATCGTGTTCTTTTTCCCTCAGGGGAAAGTTGGGGACATGCTGCTACAATACGGCTAATCTTTCATTGGGACCAAAAGCAAAGGTCGGTATGGAAACAAGTTAATAATTCTGAGTATTGGGTTAATTACACTGAACACTCATCAGTTTCTCAGAGCTAGTCCAGTGGATGAAACCTACAGTGCCCATAAAATAAAGCTACTGTTACCTTCATTGCCTAGAGCAAACATAGAAACTTCTTGTTATACTGCACATTTAGCTACATAGGAAATTCTTTGGAATATTTAAATGATGGGGTGCACCTGAAATGAGTAGGTGGCCACAGTGCTACCTTCTAAAGCTCTTTGAAATCAAGTACCATCTATTAGCCATGTAGAGGGAGGTGGGTACTCTGTGTTCTGGAAGGGACTGAAAGGAAAGTAAAATCAGGACAAACGGGAAGCTTTTGAGGTTAGCTTTAGGACTAATTGATGTGGAAAATAGGATGGTTTTTCTTAGTTTCTTAATATATTTCTTGTATGAAATTGTGTTTTCTTTTGTTTTCTTTTATATTTTCCTATTACGCTTTTATTACCCAGTTACTTACTTGCCTTTCACAAGTATTGTTCTTTAAAATAAAATTATGGCAGCGTGAAACCTTTGTATTTCTAAAGTTGCTGAGTATGTGAACAAATCAGCTTTCATTTTCTTTAAAACAGGCGGTTGTAAGCTGTGGAGTCTTTTATTCTACATTTCTAGAAATGTCAGATTTATGCCAGCCTCTCTGCTTTGAAATTAATTGGTATAACCTAAAGAACTTGCTTTGGAAATGCTCCAAAAATGGGGAAATGGGAAAACTGAGACAGCACGTGTACAAAGATGGAAAAAAGGATTGCTTAAATACATATTGGGTCTGGTCAAAGATAGCATCTGTTTCTTTATCTGCATTTCTTCATCCTTGGACAAACTGAAAAGAATCATACCTGACCAAGTTAGAGTTTGCTGATCCTGAGCTCATAATGGAACTGTTTACACTTGTATCTTTTGTAACTAGTTCATGCAGTTTGTGTCTCTTTTAAAGATGACATTTCCAAAGACCTCAGGTAATTTTTTTCCCCACATAATACATAGTACTTTGCAAATGACTCCTATGCCTCTAGTTTTGTAAATGTCATTATATACTAGATTCACAAAAGCAGTTCTTTTCTCAGCAACAAACCCTATTGTAAAGATTTGGTATCAGTTCTCCAGATGAGAGTCTTTTGAACATCTTGCTTTTATTTTCCCAGATTTAGGTTTTCTGTAAAGTGCATTGTACTATTTAAATGTTGTTAGAAATTCCTCTAGAGCTAGGATACAGTAGTGGTCTTTCACTATTATTCTACTATTATCACTAATAGAATACATCTGAAACATAAAAATAGTAGGAGCTGAGAAAGATGTTCCTTTCATCTTTTAACGCACTCATCAGAAGGAGAAGTTTACCTTCTTTCTCAGATTCTAGAAGTTTGCATTGGCTAGGTACCCATGAGATCAGAAAATCATGCTTACTTTTTTTGAGAGTTAATCATTTTATGACTTCAGCTTCTCACTAAACCTTCCCAAGAAATTAGTAGTGTAGAACATTGACATTGAATAGATAGATTTAGGGGAAGTCTACCATCGTGTAAAATTTTTTCTATATCCCATACTACCATTTTAGAGAGTGCTTGCTTGTGCTACATACTTATCTGGGCACCTTATATACAACATTTTAACACCTTATATACAATGTTTTGTATAATCCCTTCAATCCCCTTTTTAAAAATTAAAGTATAGTTGGTGTACAATATTATATGTTAGGTGTACAATATAGTGATTCACAATTTTTAAAGGTTATGCTCCATTTACTATGAAATATTGGCATCTTCTCTGTGTTGTACAGTATGTACAATATGTAGCTTATTTTATACGTAATAGTTTGTACCTCTTAATTCCCTGTTCCTACATTGCCCCTCTCCTCTCCCCTCCCGCCACTGGTAACCACTAATGTGTTCTCCACATCTGTGAGTCTTTCAGTAACTCTTTGACATATCTATACCTATTAACATTAACTGTGAGAAGACCAAGGCCCAGAAAGATTAAGTAGGAAACAACAGCTACCATTTTTGAATATTTATTAACCATGCTTATTGTGCTAAGTGCTGTCTGTGTATATGTTTATAATTTCATTTTGTTTTCCAAATAACTCTGTGAAGTAGGTAGTAATACCCACATTTTATAGCTAGAGTCGATTCCTTTTCTCCTATAATTGCTGTTTCTAGAATATAATTATATTATTGCATTGATTGCCAGCCAATCTAAAGATACAGCCCTTAGCCTTCTTTTTAGGTAAAAATCTTTTTCTCCAAACTGCTTTTTCTCCCAGGCTGTGGATATATGATAAGTAATGTGCACTTTATTGTAATCAGAAAAAGCTGACCTCATTTAATAGAATCAACATAGTTTTGTTCTTCATTGTTTGAAACCAGATGTCTTTAATTTATTAAAGTTGCATGAAATCTTATATGCATTTTAAAATTTAGTTTATCTTGAAAGGATTGAAATAGAAATTCACACGGGAGGAAAATAGTTATAAAAATGCACACTTCTAGTTTGAGCAGAAAACTAAAAACCTTGACTAGCCAAATTTATAATGAGAATCGAACTTAAGTGTCGCGTCTCATGCCCCAGGCCCAATCCTTCACCAGAAACACCTGATTTTTACCCTTTGACTAATAATGGAATAACATTCCAACAGTTATTAAAAGGAATACTTTTGTCTCTGTCCTGTATACCATGTGAGTTTTCTTTCAGTTTGCATATTCATGATGAGGCCAAGATTGTTCAGAATTATACCACTCTGCCAAGAAGATCTGGTGGTAGTGTGGAGTAATATATCAACACCCCCACACAGTGTTTCACATGTGTGCTCAGCTTTAGAGCACAAGTTGTGCTTCTGTCTTGTTTCTTCCTGACCTAAACTATGTAGTTCAGCCATATGTTAAGTTTCATCTCAACTGGGGCCATGAGCCAAGTGATTCTTTGCTTTAGCTTGTTTAAAAGATCTCTTGAGATGCAGACATGAAGTATAAAATTTTACTTTTACCTAGAAATTTGAGGAAGATTTTCAATCTGAATACTTAATGCCCATTTGACTTTAGTATTCTTAATAAACACGTAAATGCTTTGTAAAAGCTTATTTACTTCTTAATTTTCTCAGAAAAGTTGGATGTACTGGGTACCTCTTTGGACATACGGTGATATGAGATGACTTAGATACTAATTTTTAAGAAGGTTGGCTAATCTTTGTTTTATTGAATCAAAAAGAGAATGTGATTTTTTAGTAAGGTGGGTTAAAAACAGCATGCCACTATTTTTTATTTTGCATTAAAAATAGAATATCAACCCTAAAACATTGTAAAAATTTATGATCTCACTCCCTAACACAACATAAGGTTCCTTATATTACATATTACTTAGCAGTTATTTTATTTATGTATACAGTTGCAATGATAGAGCATATGACATTTTGGATTCTTCTATTTTCATTCTGAAAGTACCAGCCTAGAAGTTAATGAATGATGGTCTCTGCTCCTCTTACGAATTGTGCTTGAGGAGAGAGGCAATTTCCAAATTATGAGATCATAAACCAAAGTGTCCTTGTTGAATTATCTTTGAAAACCAATCTTCATTATATTATATGTAAATAAATGACCCTTTTAACTCTGAGACTATGATTTTTGCCTAAGTTAAAGTTAGAATCTGCGTTTTGTACAGTTATATCAGTTTCAAAAAATTGTGGTAAACTATACATAACATAAAATTTACCATTATAACCATTTAAGCATACAATTCAATGGCATGAAGTACATTAATATTATTGTGCAGTCATCACCACCATCCATCTCCAGAACTTTTACAACTTTCCAAATTGAAACTCCATGTTTATTAAATACTAACTCTCCGTTCTCCCCTCCTATTGGCCTCTGGCAACCACCATTCTACCTTCTGTTTCTATGTATTGGACTACTCTAGGCACCTATAAGTGGAATCATATGATATTGGTCCTGTTGTGACTGGCTTTATTTGACTTAGCATAATGTCTTCAAGGTTCATTAATTTCTTTCTTTTCTAAGACTGAATAATATTCCATGGTATGTATAGACTACATTTTGTTTATCCATTCATCTGTCAGACGCTTGTGTTGCTTCTGCCTTTTGGCTATTGTGAATAAGTTATATCATTTTTAAAGTAATTTTTAAGAGACACTTAGAGGTTTTTGCTTATATAGTTGGCCTTTGAACACCATGGGTTTGAACCATGCAAGTCCACTTATAGGCAGATTGTTTTCAATAAATATAGTATATATATTTTCATTTTACAGACCTTTAAATGTGGGGAAAAGTTTTTTGTGTTCGATTAGAGATCACAAGAACTAGAGTTTGAGTCCTTATTCTATCCAGACTGTTTCAGCTTCCTGCCCTTGGGTGACTCCTTTGTCAATTTCTTTGGTTTTGAAGCAGAGTACTTGGATTTTAGACTGCATGGGAGTCTGTGCCCCAACCCCGACATTGTTCAAGGATCAACTGTATTTGTTGCTATTACAGTAATTGAGTGTAGTTAATACGAACTTAGAATAATAAAATTCTAAAATTTTATTAATAAAAATAAAATTTTCAACTACTTTCAGCTTTCAGCTTTATATTATTTACTTTGTAGAGTACATAGTAAAATCCTACCTAAACAGACCTTGTTCTGCCATGACAGTGATTTTTCTGAACATAATCATTTTGAAAGAGTGTGTCTTCCTATCTTATTTGTATTAGTATAGTATGAGTATGTGTTCCTCATTTATATACCAGGAAACTGTCTTTAATACTTCTATTATAATGCACAAAAGATACACAATTACTGTATAGAGTTTGAAAGATCTAGATAACCAAATTAAAAAACAACCTTTACCTTGTAATAACAACTTTTTGATTATAGTCTTCTAGTAATTTTTCTAAAACTCATAAATGTGGGATCATACAGTATAATATACTTCATATATTATTTCCCTATCTCACTGAATATTTTCTTCTACTTTATTTTCTTAAGTGTAAATAGTATCTTGTCATGTACAAAATAATTTATTCGAATCAATCATTGGATATTTAGGTTGTTTTAAAATTTCACTTATATAAACAATTGTTACATGTATACATAGAGCTATTGTTTGAAGGGAATATTTTTGATATTTCTTTGCCTTCTGTGTTCTTAGCGAACAGTAATAGAATTATACTAAAAACTATAAATTTAAATTATGAAATCAGTCATCTGAGCTAATTAAATCATATGTTTGTGTATATTTATTCTTTTTCTCTAAGCAGGTTGGCAACATTGTACAAATCACCAAGCCAGAAGGAATCTACAGTACTATTTCAAATCACAGTCAGTATTATTTGATTAGAGTGGGATTTTGGTGTTAGTGGGCAGTAATTATCTGAAGAGAACATTTACAAATTGCTTCTGTTAACTTCTATAGGCAGCAAGCATATTTGACGACAGCTTTTGATGCTTAGAACATTATCCCCAAAATAGTAGTATCTATACAGAATACTCTAGTTACAATTGAACTGAAATTTATTCTTAAGAACAGAGGAAATACTTATTTGTAGTGTAGTGTGTTCCATGCCATATGTAATGTCAGGATATTAAAGATTTTTAAAGTAAAAGTTGTTAAAGGTTTTCAGAAAAGAAAAAATACTGACATTACTTATTCTGATCAGTATATATTGTAGTTCTGTCATAGCTACCAAATATATCCCACTTTTTTCTTTCTTTTATTGAAATATAGTTGATGTGTAATATAAGTTACAGGTATATAATACAGTGATTCAAAATTTTTAAAAGTTATACTTCATTTAAAGTTATTTTAAAATAGTTACTATGTTCCTTGTGTTATACAGAATATCCTTGTAGCTTATTTTTGATACAAAATAGTTTGTTCCTCCTAATCCCCTACCGCGTTATTGCCCCTCCCTACTTTCTGGTCCCCACTGGTGACCACTAGTTTGTTTTCTATATCTATGAGTCTGTTTCTTTTTTGTTACATTCACTAGTTTGTTGTATTTTTTAGATTCCACATATAAGTGAAATATATCTCACTTTAAAATGTTAAATATCCAGCAATGTTACATCATAGAATGCACATTTTTGGCTAAAATAATGCATACTTATCAATAGTATTGAATCAGATATATTCTTGGATCTCATTTTTTAAGGACAAAAACAGAGATTCTGAAACTGAATTATCTACTTACTCTTTGCACTGCTCAGGTGCATTTAAAGTATCCTAATTGAAAAACTTTATTTTAGAGTATTGTGAAAATAAATTTCTAAAGTACCTAAATAATTAGTACATGTTACTTCCTTTCACTTCCTCCAGTAAAACTACCATAAAGTTTGTTAGGATTGACTTTTAGAGAATATTTTTATAATACAGTGTTATTTCTGTGTGTATGTATGTGCATGTATAAGTGAATATATAAAATATTCTAGTATAGCCCTGGCTTGGACACTTATCTGTGAAGTTTATCCTCTTTATTCACAGTGGTCGATAACTTCTATCTCAAGAATAAAGTAGTTCTTTTATCAATTACCTTAAAATATTCGGAAGACTAGTTGTTATTCTAGATGTTCTTAAAGCATACTTGTGTATTTTTTTCATCTTGCAGCCTCAGGGATTTCGAGATGCTGTTGTTGCTACTGAATGTTCATTGCAAACAGAAGGTTCATTGAATTCCCGGAAGAGGTCACGAGACTCAGAGGAAGAACAGGAATCCAAAGACTAGTCTCAAAGTATACATATATATTGATGCTATGAGAGATGCAATGTATACTGGTAGTCGACTCGTTACTTTGTAATATAAATACACTATGGCATGAATGAATCAGGTCTATATTAAGTGAATGGGAAAAATACTTAACAGATATGATTCTTTGAGTTTTTCTAAAGCAGTGTTCTGCAGTTATATTTTGCCCTGTTTTCATTTTTAGTAATATTCAGTAGAGATGATATGGGTATTATATTTTGCAGATGTGGAAAGCTGATCTCATGTGACCAATCTGAGCTTACGATTCAGACTGTTTTTCGCTCCTTTCTTTGCCAGTTGCCTAGACATTTCTAGGAAGAAAACATTTCTTTCACATTCCTATTATGTCTTCCTCTTTAAGTGTAGCTTTGATAATCTTAAAAATGACCTGTTTCTATTATAAAGAAAAGCCAGCACCATGAGTCAGCGTATCATTACATTCAGTATATGGGTAGGATACAAATTTTAAATGGCCAGTCTGATTTTAGTGACCCCCAATCCTAAAATCTAAGTCATTTGTTTATTTTTTTAATACCATTTTATAATGTTAAAGGAAGGACTTTGGAGTTGTTATCCCATGTAAAACATTGACTGGAATGTATATCTTCCAGAATAGTCAGGCTGATAAGCTCACAGTCATTTATTTCTGTATTTTTGAAGCATGGTGTGATCTAGTTCTAGGTGTACTGAATTTTTGTTTGAATAATCTTAACACTGCTTGAATAAATTAAAAATTTTGATTCTTCGGTGATTTCAAAATCATCTAAAAATGTTTGGTACCTGATTCTTCTTAATATTTCTTAATTCGTTTACAACATTTACTTTCGCTCTCAGTGGAAGAAAATTATTTAAGTAATTTAATGTTATATATTGTGACAACCGTATTTTCCAGATTTTAGTGACAGGTGCTATTTCCTGTACCAGACTGAACACTAAATTCATAAAATGTTTATAATATAATTTTTCTGTAATTGATTATACATAGACAAAATCATAGTTTGCCAGGACTTTTTTGAAGGGTGAAAGTAGGCACTGCTAACAGTTACACCAGGACATGGACATAAATCAAGACCGTCCCAGGCAAATCAGGCGTATGGTCATCCTAATTATATAAGACTAATTTCAAGTGACTAGTATAGGCTGACTAATTGTAACTATCTTATTTTTGAGGGCTTTAAGGCATATATTTTTATTATAATTAATGCCGTCAGTATAAAAAATTACCTATCATTTTATATTAGGTCTATTCAAATCATAACATCAAGAGAGTAAGGGGGTTGTTAAGTGATAAATATTAGTGTTACCAGACATTAGATACTGTAGGAGTTTATTTTATAAAGCATTTGAACACTGTACTTTAAAAGAACTATAGGACCCTGAATATAGACAAAGCAAAGTATATTTCTTTTTGTTTGCAACTCTTTTAAAATAAAATTTACATATCATTGCCTTTCAGAGTTGTTGCTATTGTTTAAAAGATACTTATTTTTCTAGTTATAAATATAATATACACTTAAATCGTCTGCTTGGGCTGCAATAACAAAATACCATAAACTTAAACGACAAAATTTTCTCGAGGTATTAGAAGCTAGAAGTCTGAGAGCAGTGTGCCAACGTGGTCTGGTTTTGGTGAGGGCTGTCTTCCTTGCTTGAAGACAGCTGCCTTGTGTGCTCACAAGGACTTCCCTAAGTGAATGTGTATGGAGAGATCTTTTTTCCTTCTGTGTCTTACAAAGCCACCAGTCCTATGAGAAATCCACCCTTACAACCTCATTTAACATTAATTATCTCCTAAAAGCCCTATCTCCAAATACAGTCATATTGGAGGCAGGGCTTCAACATACGAATTTTGAGAGGACACAATTCAGTTCATAGCCTTCTCCCCCTGACTCCCCTAAATTCATGTCCTTCTCACATGCAAAGTACATTCATTCCATCCCAAGTGGCCCAAAATTCTTAACTCATTCCAACATCAACTCTAAAGTACAAAGTCCCATTTAAATATCCTCTAAATCAGATGTGGGTGAGAGTCTGGGTACAACTCTTTCTGAGGCTCAATTCTTCTCCAGCTGTGAACCTGAGAAATCAGACAAGTTAAGTGTTTCCAAAGTACAGTGGTGGGACAATGGTAGGATAGACATTCTCATTCTAAAGGGGAGAAATCAGGAGGGAAAAAGGAGTGATGGATCCCAAGCAAGAATAAAACCTAGCAAAGCAAATTCCATTAGATCTTAAGCCTCGCTATTAATCCTTTATGGTTTGATTCTCTGCCTTCCAGGCCTACCGGAGTGACATTACCCTGCAGCTCTAAGTGGAGGTTCTGCCCCTGAGACTGCTGGGAGGCAGAGGCCATCTAGCCTGTTGAAAATGAGGCAATGGCCCTGAAGACGTCTGAATGTCCTTCAGGGTCATTTTTCCCTCTTCTTGAAGGATAGCCCATGTTTGTAGAAAAATAGCTCTTATCCAGTCCTCTCTAATCCAAGAAGTCTGTCAGCCTTCTTTCATTTTGTCCTGTCTCTGTCCTCTTCAGTTCAAACTGGCATTATTTCTGCTGATATAATCCCATAAGCTTTTTATGGATTGATGGTCCAGCCACACCCTTGATGTTCTGTTCAGAACATGCTGTCTAATTTTTTTGCAGTATGGATAGGCTGAGAATTTTCCAAATCTTAAGGTTCAGGTTCCTTTTTGTTTATCAATTTCTTCTTCATATTTCTTATTTTGCATTTTACTGTAAACAGGCAGGAGGAGCCAAGCCACTCCTTCAATACTTTGCTTAGAAACCTCCTCAGCTAAATAGCTGGTTTCATCACTTTTGCATATTCTATCTTCCACAAAACACTAAGTTCAGCCAAGTTCTTTGCCACTTCATAACAGAGATCACTTTTTCTCCAGTTTCTATTATTGGTCTGCATTTCCATCTGAGATCTCACCAGAATCACCTTTTACATCCGTATTTCTAGCATGCCCCTCCAAACTCTTCCAGCCTCCACTCATTACTCAGTTTGAAAGCTTCTTTCACATTTTTAGATATTCCTTAAAGCAACACCCCACTTCCCAAAGCTAAAATCTGTAATAGCTTGTGCTGTCATAACAGGATACCATAGATTGGGTGGCTTAAGGAAGTTTATTTTCTCACAGTTCTGGAGGCTGGAAGTTTTAAGATCGAGGTGCTAGTAGCATGGTCATTTCTGATGGGGTGAGAGATCTCTTCCAGGTTTGTAGACGGCCTCTTCCACTATGCTCTCACATGACAGGGTGAGAGAGATTGAGAGCATGAGCAAGCAGGCTTTCAGGTGTCTGTTCTTATAAGGGTGCTAATCCTATCATGAGGACCCTGCTGTTAGGACTGCATTTAACCTTAAAATTATCTCCTAAAAGCCCTGTCTCCAAATATAGTCACATTGGAGGTTAGATCTTCAGCATAAAATTTTGGGGGAGACAGTTCAGTCTGTAGCACTATAGAAAACAAAATATGTACAAAAATATAACTTAAAAAATTGTAACCTGCTTTATAAAAATCCTAATACATCCTCATGTGTTCCACATATTTTTTCTATGATAGTTTTTAATGATTGTGCATACTTTAAAATTTCTTTTTGAAGTTTGGATTATTACTCTGTTTTTAGTGTTAAACTGTTCTAATAAATCAGGTAAGTTCCTTTTTAAAGAAATTCAATTTGTATTAATTTCTTATTGCTGCTGTAATAAACTACCACAAATTTGGTGGCTTAAAGGAACACAAGTCTGAAGTCAGTTTCAAAGGGCTAAAGTTGAGGTTTCAGCAGGCCTGCATTCCTTCTGGAGGATCTGTGGGGAGTTCTGTTTCCTTGCCTTTTCTAGCTTTTGGAGGCTGCCTGCATTCCTTAACTCAGCTTATCTTCAAAGACAGCAGTGTAGCATCTTCCAGTCTCTTTTTCTGTGTTTCCATTGCCTTTTTCTTACTGTCTTTTCCTGTGTCCCTCTTAGAAGGACACTTGTGATTACATTTAGGGCCCCACTAGATAATCCAGGGTAATCTCCCCATCTCAAGGCCCTTAATTTAATCACACCTGCAAAGTCCTTTTTGCCATGTAAATTAACATTCACAAATTTCAAGGATTAGGAAGTCACTATTCAGCCCCTCAAATCATGTGGCAACATGATTCAAGAAATAAGGATCCTTGGGTAATTCATTAAAGTTTGAAAAGCACTGGGACAGACTTGGTATCATTTTTTAACTTTTCATAGATGGTCATTTCCATTAGTGAAACTAAGTTCCTTAGCTTTTTGAAAACTTTTTTTAAGGAGTATTATTCTTTCTTGATTATAAAATATATGGTACAGGCATACCTCAGAAATACTGCAGGTTTGGAACCAGACCACTGCAATGAAGCAAATATCAAAGCGAGTCACACAAATTTTTTTGATTTCCCAGTGCATATAAAAGTTATATTTACACTATACTATAGTCTATTAAGTGTGCAATAGCATTATGTCTAAAAAGATACATTAATTAAAATTAAAATATTTTATTGCTAAAAAATGAGTCTTCAGTGAGTCATTATCTTTTTGCAATAGTAATATCAAAAATCACTGATCATAGATCAACAAAGCAAATGTAATAATAATATGAGAATTACCGAAATGTGACACAGAGACACAAAGTGAACCTTGCTGTTAGGAAAATGGCACCAGTAGACTTGCTCAGTGACGGTTGTCACAAACCTTCAATTTGTAAAAAACCGCAGTATCTGTAAAGCACAACAAAATGAGGTATGCCTATAATTTTCCAAACATTCTTTTCTTTTCTTTTTTTTTTACATTTTTTTATTGAGTAATAGTTATTTTACAATGTTGTGTCAAATTGAAACATTCTTTTCTAATTCTAATTTCTAAATTTTAATTTCTAATTTCTAATTCTTGATCTTACAAACATTTTATCCTTTATTGAAGTTGTATTGTTTTTCAAAGTGTTATGACTTTCATTTTAAATTTTGGAGGTGTATAACTTAAAACATATTTATATTTATATAGTGCCTTATGGTTTTGAAACACTTTTACATTATTTATTTAGTTGGATCTTTCTAGCAACTCTTTAAGGTAGATATGATAGGCTGGCCTGTGTGTTTTCATTCCTTCCATCTATCTATCCATACATCTAATGTCTAACACATACACATTTAACAACTACTTGTTGAATGAATAAATATTTCAAATAAGATTTATAATAAATTCTGTTTTTCAAATGGTCAGGTAAGAATACTGTTTGGTTGTGCATAGGATTGTGTTTCTGAGCATTCTTTATTGTTACAAAATAAATTTATGTAATTTAATAGTGGTCTTTTAAAATTTTTTTTACTTTTAAAACATTGAGATAAAATAGAGAGTACTTAAAATTTGCCATTTTAACCATTAAGTGTACAATACAGTGACATTTTTAAGTGTTGTACAATCATCACCACTATTCTTAAAACTTTTCATCATCCCAAACAGAAACTCTGTACCCATTAAGCGATAGATACCTCATTGTTTCCTCCTTCTAGCTCCTCATAATCTCAAATTTACTTTCTGTTTCTATGAATTTGCTTATTGTATATATTACATAGAAGTGGAATCATTCAGTATTTTTTGTTTTGCTTATTTCACTTAGCATAATGTGTTCAAGGTTCATCCATGTTGTAGCATTGGTAAGAACTTCAGTCCTTTTTATGGTCAAGTATTATTCTGTTATATGTATATACCACATTTTGCTTATCCACTCATCTGTTGATGAACTTTTGGGTTCTTCCTAATAGAGCTTTTAACGGTTTATAAATTTGTATGAGTAACACTTTTTATTTCTTGTAACTTTTACTGACTACTATTGTTTATGAAGTTTGGGACGGTTGATCTATCTTTGGAATATTTTCAGGTTATTCCTACTAGCTTAAATTTTAACCCTAATAGACTTATTTTGATTTCTTAGATCAGCTATTTTAATTTTCTCTCTGTTTACTATATATTATTTTTCTTGATAATAAGGTCATACTAAAATGTTTACAACTAGTTACCAGCAATAAAATTACAGTATAATGTGGTAGATAGTTGAGGTAGCTAGGACTAGAGTCAGAAGACCTGCATCCTATTCCAGCTGAGACATTAATAAGCCATGTCAATTTTGACACCTTTGTTTTCTCATGCCTTTGCCTTATTTATAAGACAAGATAGGGCTAAATGATTGCTAAATTCATAAGTCAAAATTTTGTGATTTCAGTTTTTATAGAGGGATTTATTAAATATTCACTTTAAATGAGCAATACTGAAAATATGGAAGAGTGACATTTACACTTTTTTAATTTTCAAAATTGATAATTCTGTGGTTTCCGTTCCCAATACGTTGCATTTCAGTTTTGAGACATGATATTGAAATGTTCTATTGCTTTTAAAAAAAACATTGAGTTGCAGAAGAGAGTCTGGCTGTTCATAATATGT